ACTCGGATCAGACAGTCTGTTCTAAATTGCGACTATTTTCAGCGACGTATTGTCTTTATATCAAGTAAAATAACGCTTTCATTTATCGGGACAAAAGCTTAGTAAGAAGATAATTGGGTTTTGAGCAGACTTGTGGATGATTTCACTTGCCCCAGTTTTAAGCTTTCAGAGTTTTGGGTATCCCTAGTGGGGATAGCCAAAACACTAGGGATTTGGGTACGGGGGTACCCAAAACTCAGGGATTCCCAAATCACTGTGACACCGCCATTTTGAAAAGTGGAGAAGGCCCTTGGACGACATTGAGTTTACCGCCGGCTAAGTGGGAGCTCTGCCGTTGACCAGTGGTTTTGAAAAGAGAGCGATATGAAATCATACACGTTCTGGACATTCTTGTGCTTGAGCATTTATTTTAACAAAGCAGTGGATCTAAGCGCGAAGAATTCTCTTATTTGGGGTCCAGGACTACACAGAAAGATTGTTCTACCTGCGAGATACTTCTTTATCCAAGCAGTAGATAAAGAAAACAACAAGTAAGCTTGAAGGTTTTAAAAGTCGATATCTTAAATATTATTCACCACAAGGGAGACACTTAAAATGCAAGTGGGGAGAGTCATTCCGAAAGATCTATTCTAGCCGCAGAAGTTATTTATAGTGCAGGTCCACATCAGGACTTAACGTCTTGCCAATTGATCTGTAACCTGCTTTATCAAATAAATCATGTATGTATGTATGTATGTATGTATGTATGTATGTATGTATGTATGTATGNTCATTTATCGGGACAAAAGCTTAGTAAGAAGATAATTGGGTTTTGAGCAGACTTGTGGATGATTTCACTTACCCCAGTTTTAAGCATTCAGTGTTTTGGGTATGCCTAGTGGGGATACCCAAAACACTAGGGATTTGGGTACGGGGGTACCCAAAACTCAGGGATACCCAAATCACTGTGACAGCTGCGCAAGCCATGAACAGCATGGAGAGAATTAACGAGTTGAGGCATGAGGGGAGGAACTGGGGAGAGGCGCCTTTCCCTATTCTAATCCCCAGTCTCCTCTTGTTTTCTTTCTCCTCGCTACAGTCTCCCTGCACCGTTGATGGCTGCTTCCCTGACTATCACCAAAAAGGGACTGCTCGCAGTAGTCCAGCAATAGCAGTTACGATCCACTCATTTTAAAACTACATGGAAACCTCATCAGCACCAATCCAGTTACAGGTGAAGAGTTACACCGCGGCTCGTGCCGAAGTAATACCCTTAGTAGAGCTCAATAGTTTCGGCTGTTTGTTGTCTGACTAAATTGCGTTGGTTATGAAAAGACATCACAGTCAAGTAATCATTTACTGAACACAAACTAAAGAAAATACAACCCAGTGATTCGTCATGTAAAATATCAATAACCTGTGTATGCGTGCCTAAACGTAGTGGTCAGTGCACTTAGGTCGTTTTTTTCTGTGACTTATGTCTGACGGCATTACACTACGTTGTTTGCTACAAAATATTAAAGTCAAGTAATATATGTGCTGATCACAAACTAAAGAAAATACATACCAGCAATTCCCATCGTGGAAACTATCAATTACCTATACGCGCGTTCATCGACTTCAGTCTGCTGTGACTGCTGTCTGGCATAAAACTGCGTGGATTACTACATTACATTACACATGGTAGAAGGACGAGTTGGGGGAGGTGGGGGTAGTGCTCTGCGGGCGGATGGCGCTCTGCCTGGTAGACCGCGTGCCAGCCTTTGCAGACGACCCTCAAATGACGTCATGGGTGAAATATAATTATTTTCCAACCAGTATCTCTTAAAGAACATGATGTTAGCAACTCTCTTCCTTTCTCCTCCAATCAGAACGTTGTCTGACACCGCTAACAGGTGAGAAACTGAACTCAGCTCAAAAAATCGGTTGCTGTGTTCTCCACAGTCTTCACTGTGGAAGAATACTTTACCAATCAGCTCATCTGGGCTAAAAAGTAGGACCATTGCCAACAAGGCGTCGATTTGTGCGTCGTTCAGTAAATAGTAACTCTCGTAGTTCCTCAGCCTGCTGAGATTGGGATCGTCAAGCTGAATAACACTTGCCACACAGTTAAGGTAATACATTAGTTTGGCTGTTGGGTTCGCGGGCACTGTAGCAGGCGTTGTCGTTTCTCTAATTCCAACTCTTTCTCCAATAAATGCCGCCATATTGTGGGCCTCGGTTTGTCTACAAGATAAGAGAGCTTCCATCTGAATCTCAAACAACACAGTCTCGACTTTATAACTTACTTATTGGTGCAGATATGTTTGCAGTTTTTCACACCTTAATTCAGGAAGAACGAAAAGCGTTTCGAGACTTCCAACAGAGTTTGAACTCGTAAGTATTAGTGATAGTTCAAACCTGCTCAACGTTCTCTTTTGGTCTTCCATCGGGAAAGATAACCTATAAAGAGGTCCGGAAATTATAGCGCTCATTTTGCCTTCATCTAATCTTGCGATTTAGTTGCCAAACTGATTAACGTATATGAATAAAACACAATTGCACTGTTTACAGATTTACAAATAACAATACTATGGCTGATATGGACCAGTAACGTACTTTCCACTGAATTTCCTCTTTGAGGAATAACGATCAGTTCTAATAGACAGTTAAAACTCTTTGATTAGCGTGCAATTTCTCTTCGCATTTTTACTGCTTGATTGAGCATAAATTTTACGAGAATAACCAAAACGATCACCAAAGATGGAATACCCTGATGATTGAACAGATTCTCCCAACTTATACCATAAGACCCATCTGGAGTTCAGTGAGGAGAATATTCATATTGGTCCCATGGCTTAAAGGGTTAACACTAATCCGCGATCAAAAATAAAACGAGGTTTTCATTTCGCCCTTTGAAAATGTTTTTGGAATTCGATTTTAAACTTGGATAAAAAAAGACACCAAGTCAAAATCTAAAGGGCGAATATCTTTTGCAATAATATTTCTTGGCCTGGCGATGAAAGTTGAATCAAATTTCACCTTTATCGCCAGGATGGGCTTCATCGTAGTTTTTACGACCTGGCGCTGCTTCAGAATGTTATCAGATAGGAAGGTTATAACAAGGAAGTGGATAATTGCAATTAAAGAACAGTGAACGATGCGCCGCTATTTTACATTCTACAAGCAGTTGCAAAAAGGTTGAGACTGACGCAAAAATTCACTTCTTCTTCCTAAAACCCCTTTTCCAGGTCAAAAGGAAAGTCACAACGCCCCTCCCTCCCCTCCCCCCTTTTTCAATGTTGATACCCTTCACTTGAATGCCAAGTGAAGATCGAAACATCTTTGCTTGGGGGAGAAGGGGGGTGGGGATGCGTTGACCTGAATGACACGCACTGTTCGGTTATTAACAGTGAGTATCAAAAAAAAAAAAAAACAGTGAGTGTCTTAACTCTTTTTGCAAGTGCTTGTAGCTCAAGCCGAGCGGTATTTCTTCTTCAAAAACTTCAGTTCATTCTGGGAAATAAAATGGCGGCTATACTGGAGGAGTTTGGACGTTTTTTGTACAACATTGCAGGATGCAACTGGGTGAAGAGACATTAGGAAGCTTAGGTACTAACCCTCTCGTTAGAGTAATACCAAGGCTAAAAGCACTCTACATCCTTGTAAATAGACCCTGGGAACATTTCTTTTAAAGCAAAACAATCAGCATACTTGGATAACGTTTATTTATTTACAGAGTGTGTTCATTGTCACGCAATAAAATATAAAATAAAAAAACATTCAGTGGATAAAGTCAAGAAATTGTGATGTTATAGACGATAAATAAAGAAGACAGTTCTCCAACTTCAAGGTGTGTGCGTTGTCCCAAAGTTGAGATATTCGTCGAAATGTTCCGCGCAAATTATAGAGCCTAGTATGGAGCCGCCTTGTTGGAGGACCTCCTTAGTCCTCCATTATGGCGGCCTGAAAATAGTGTAAACATCTAGAACTTACTTTGGCTATCTAGACAACTGATTATCTGAACCGAACCAAAAAACATTTACACTAGCACTTTTCCTAATACTTTAACTCCTAAAATGGCTAAAAATCACGAGATAAGTGTATATATTTCGACAAACGCGATCATAGCTTCAGGTCACGCACCGCCATAACTCCAAAATTCAAAATGCGCTGGTTTCCAAACGAAGGACGCTATTGAGCTGGAAAGTTGTAAACAGATATAAATTTAGTACCTCTTATGCCTGGTGAGGATAAAACCTTTAGGGGCTCTTTAGTTTTGGATTTGAGAATTTGATGTCGTCACGTCCACACACTCTATTGGCGAACTTCACATTTTTTGAGAGTGCTACTGTGAGAAATTAAATGCTACTCGACGTCTGCGTCGGTTTCCATATATAAGCTCGTAATATTAGTACAAGTCCAGTGAACAAATCGTAATTGCGACTAACTTTGCCATCATTTTATTTAGCTGGGCATGTCTATAGACATATGCATCAAAATGGTCAACTTAACGATTGAGATAAAGTTTTGGCAAATGACAGTGCAGCTAATTTACCTTTTGTTGACAAAATAACTGTGTCCTCACTGTTGAAATTGCTCGTCCATAGGGAATATCAGATTGTTGGCATGAGTGTCACTTGGATGAGTTCGTTTAAAATGCAAAGGGGGGAACCAGCTAACATCTACAGAAAGCAAACGTGTAGCTTGAACCTCGGACATTCGTTCGAAAATTTCTACTTCCTTAAACTTTGTGGGCTTTAAAAAGCCAGAAACCCGACGAACAGATAAAACTCTGTTGGCTTACAAATATTTGCCTCTGCAAGACTGAGCGCGAAGAGATCTTAGAAGGAGGAAGGAACAATGTTAGGTTTTTCATTATAAGCTGGACGCTCCCGGAGTATTATCAAGTACATGTAAAGGAACACCTACCTTTAACAACGGTTGGAACTGCAAGAACAAGGAAGTAAACAATTGCGCAGAAAGACAAGCGAGTATTCAAGTTTTGCTCACGTAGTCAGTTGGCGTCTCAGCGTCATAAACGTATGTAATATGATAAGTATGTTAGCCTAATGGGTAACTGATACTACTAAAAAAGATTTCCCCCTGACACGAACTGAAAGAGGTCCAAATCTTTTTAATCATACAACGTTCTGCAATTAAGCTCAACTGGAATATTTTCCTTTCTTTCTCGGAAAAAGAAATAGACCCCGTGCTGGAATGATTTTAAATGGATTTTGGTCAGCGACTCTAACGACTGCTCTTTGAGAGTAAAACAGTCACCTACTCAATGTGTCACGTTCAGTAGTTTTGAAACGCTAAAATAACAATCTAATGGTATTACAATTGCTTTAATAGAACAGCTTTCCTTTGAGGTTGGAAAGCAATTCGCATTGCTTTGGTTTTGCTTGGCTACGCTTTGTGATTGGTGAGAAAAACTTTTGCCAGGAGCAAAATCAAAACCAATTGTGACTTACTGTTCGGACGCATTTTCCCGTGCGTGATGTCGTATACGTAATACGTACTCGTATTTGCGAAGAATTCTGATTGGTTCGTTCTCTGCTTTCTTCTGTTGTTATTGGTCATGCGGAGTAATTACTTTGGTTTTGACTCTGTGAAACAGTTGCTAGCTGTTTTATTGCTACACAGAGAGGAGAATTTATTGATCATCTTGGGCTATCAGTGGGCTTGTTGGAAGTAGATTTCAGGTTACCAAATCTTGTGCTCTCAAACCATCTGAACCATCTTTAGGTCTTTTCACCTTTTGTTCCTTCATTCAGTTCAAAGTTTTATTATATTGGTCTTCTTAATCAGTGGAGTTCACCCTGATTTTCTTCAGTCTTCTCGCCAGTTTCCCTTTTTTTCGCCACTCTTTTCATAGATGAAAGAAAATAACAAATTGAACACAACACAACCGCTTGTTTTCGTTCAGTCTCTGCACTTGCGCAGAGGTGTATCTCTCTCAGGTAACCAGCAGGTAAGCAGGCTGCGCATATTTCACGTTAGCCAGAGTTGGCCTCGTTACGTTGTGACATTTGACTTTGCCTTTCATGTATTGTTTCACGGTTGTACCCGCGTTTGTCTACGTGCCTAACTCACTTTCACAACTTATCTCTTGTCCCGTTTCTGTTCATGGATAAACGAGATCTGAGTGAATTGAAACCTTGCACGAACAGTTACTACAGTAGAGTGCTGCACGACATCTGCTTTCTTTCAGTGTTATTTTCACATTGTCTTGTCCAGTTAAGGAGGGTTTCAATGGGGTATGGATTTAGCCAGTAAACAGCAAAAAAGGAGATTAGTCAGTTAATTTATATGATATTATGACTGTTATGAGATGTAGATGGTCTCCTTTTGCAAAGTAAGCCCTGATTGAAATAAAATCAGTAAAATGACACAATTGTGTTTACTGTATTGCACAATCAGTGCTCCGTTGATCCCTTTTGGACTCCTATGTGTATCAGCGATGTTGAAGACCTTTCTGACCATATATGGTCAAAGAAACACAGCGAACACTAAGAATAATTTCTAGAATCCAGGATTCTCGTATTTACTTTCTCTTTTTCTGCAAAATGATTCACGATTACCCTTCACTTGTGCGTAAGCTCTGAACTGAAAAGAAATACTATATTAATAATGCCTTTAGGGAAAACAGATTTAATATCTAAAGAAACAGATAGGCCAACTAATGCAGTTGCGTAATGGAAACCTGTCGAGTTGAAGATTGCAAGTTGTGGTTTAATTCTATTCTTGTAGAACGTTTCTGATGTAATCTGCATGTAATTGGTCGCAACACAGTAAACATTACATAAATAGTTTTAAGTGTTCCGGCAGACTGTTCAAGGTTTCATGGCCTGCTATAAGGTCCTAAGGTCCTGGTATAAGGTCATAAGAAAGAGTATAGCACCCAATGTCCATCTAGGCCTCAGAACCAACCGTTTTCCCTTTGCTGATGCCAAATTAAGTGGTCCTTTTCTTAGCCACTTTTGTTGCCGACTAAGAAAGAAGACGTAAAAGCGCTTATCAAGACTAACAACGACAATATCAGTGATCGCCAGGTTTTAGCATCCATGTCGGTCAGACAGAATTGTAGAAAGTACGGTGTTTGGACGATGTGTGGGTTCAATCAATCGAGATTTCGAGTCTCGCCCTGATCCAGAGGGTAGCGTTTTTATTCACGAAAACTGTACTTGGTTCTGTTATTGAGGATTTTGTCCCCGCAACTGCCACAGATATATTGAATTTCTTCCCACTTTTTGCCCAGCTGTTTCGTTTTTGTTTTTATTCTTAAAATTCACACTTTTTTGGCTACGAAGACGTTAGTTTAAGGCAACTGTTTCCATAAATTTCTCTTTACTACTTCCGCTTTTAGCCAAGTTTACGAAAAATGGCGATCAGATGCACAATGTAGAAACGGTCGAAACGTCGCGACCCACATTAAAGTGAATATATCGTGAGACAAACAAGCCCAGAAACTAATTTATCGGGGAGCAATAAAATTTTCAAGTACTGGTTAATTAAATATAGTGAAAATATCGTTACTAAGTTACTTTGTCGCAAAACTTCTGCTGCCTAGATTTCATTAAGGCCAGATCTATAAACTCCTCAGGAACCGAAACCGAACCACTTTTCGAAGAATTTAGCAATTTTTCGGTTCGAGCTCTAAGGATTAAGGAATGAAGATGTGAATGATCATCGCAGTTATAAACACTACTTGAGCAGTTGTGAAAATAAAACTTGAAAAAAAATTCAGGCTTGTACGGGAGTATGTTGGTTCGTAATTAACCCGTGAACCAACCCCGGGGAACCAACAAAACGACCAGCTCCCAATTAGCTTGTAAGCTCAGTTGGTAGACTACTGCACAGCACCGCAAATGATCCCCGACGGCAAATGATCCCCAGGTCGGAAATGATCCCCAAATTGGACTGCAAATAATCCCGAACCGCAAATTATCCCGGATGTGGACCGCAAATGATCTCGCTGGAAAATAGAGAATACATGGATTTTGGTTCCATGTTTTTATTTCTTTATTTTATTTTCATCATCCAAACGATAACTTTGAATAAATGTAAAGAAGTAAACTACAATTTAAATATAATTCTCATGATAAATAATTCCATCTCATTTTCTTTTGACGATTCTTCTGAAAAATCACGGAAACAATAAAAGCTCGTAAACAGCAGTGATACCATTTCTCAATTGGCTCGATCTACAACAATAATAGCTTAATACTACCCTAACGAAGACATAAAATACTTGTATACATTTGTGTTAATACCACGTCACCAGTAAGGGCGATCGTGACATATTAATGACCTTTTAGTCCTACGAATGATATCCTGTGAGATAGAAAGTCCGCATCTCAACACTCCAAGCCGGTTCGGCTTTCGCATCTTTAATTTACAGCCAGAAATTCCATGCTGATGATGTAAACGTGTACTGAATCTGGACAGGATTCCTGATTGGTCAACTTGCATAGTTGAGCGATCTAACACTTACCACCATTACCCGTGGGAGACATATGCGGAAAAACCGAGAGACAGGATATCATTACGAACTAAAAGTAGAATGGCAGCCGTAAGCCGTTTTCGTGTAGGATTTCCAGACCAAAGATGTCTTGCTTCATGAACAACCTTAGCCTGATACATAGGTTACACCACTACAACACGATATCCATTAGAATTTCTTGCCACTGACTTTCAAAATCGATAACAAGAGTACCCTGGGTATCAGAAGTTTTTTATTTGGCGTGATTAACCAAAACCAGAAACCGCACTTAAAAGTCTCTAGCACCCAGGGTATGACCAAACGTGCAAGCGATAAAAATAGACACTAATTATCTGACGTTATTTATCCGTTCGCAATTTTCGCTGCGGTTAAATTGTTATGAAATGTTGTGGTATAGGCAAAGCCGATTACAAGGCATTCCGCAGAGCTTTTACGGTACTCTATAAGAAGAACTTTTTTTATGATGCGTATTATATCTATATCGAGAATATAGTCAGTCATGAGTTTTTTTTATTGCACTAACGTAACATTAGATACGAAAAATGCCTACTCCACTTACAATGTTAACGTAACTTACAATTGAACGATACCAACAAAACTTACAATACTAACATTATTTACAATTTGTTAATATCTTACATTACTTTCATGTAGGGGGTTAGCTACAATAGGAGGCTTTCTCACATATTGATTTGTGACTTAGATTTATGTTTCTCAATCTTAATCAGTCATGACTTGTTTCTGTTTAGGCTAAAAATTGAAATCTAGACCCGAGGAACAAACTCCATACCATTCCTCGTTTTCCGGCGGGATCATTTGCGGTTCACATCGGGGATCATTTGCAGTTCGGGATCATTTGCAGTTCGGGATCATTTGCAGTTCGGGATCATTTGCGGTCGGGGATCATTTGCGGTGCTGTACACTACTGCACCGGTATCGCAGAGGTCATGGGTTCGACTCCCGTACAAGCCTGATTTTTTTTTTCCAGGCTTTATTTTTACTGCCGTTTAAGTAGTACAGTAAATGGTTTGAACCCAGGGAATATCAGTAGTTCGTATAATACAAAGTCGGTGAGCTAAATATCGATAAATCTCGCATCTGGGGAAAAAATCGTTGGTTGTAAATCTGCACGATTCTCAAAGGAAGACATGGATGTTGGCCGCTCCTAGAGCACAAGCTACAGCTTCTATTGTCCAGTAAACGCCAAAGGTGCGTTCTGTGCAGAAAGAAATTGACGCTACTTCGTGAACATAAATGTAGAAAAGCCCCGGATTGACAGGTTTAAAAACCCACAGTAACCGAGATACCTTTTATTGAACAGCATAGAGGGTACTTGTTATGAAGCCCGACAAAGTGTTTTTGTTCCCATGCGTTTTTCGATTTTTGGCTTTCACCACTTTTGTTTAAGCACAAAACATAATAGCTGTTTCTCCTAGAACAACAAGCAGTTCATTGGGAGCCAATGGCACTTGAGGAATAGTAAACGAAAGTTTAGTCCAATCGTTGAGACCATAGGCGTACGGGCAATTTTTTCCAGGAGGGGGAGGATGGCGGTGAATCACTTTCCCAAAAAAGTTTCCAAAGTTTTCCAATTTTTTTTTTTTAAACAATCGAGCACAAACAATTTTTGAAAGATCATTGCGTGTTATCTTTTAAAAACTTTTACTTTTCAACTCCGCACTGACACTTTCTTTTTCCAATTCATGACATTTGATAAAGAACATAAGAGGGAAAAAAATGCGTGTTTGGGTCCTATTAGCCGCGTGACGCAAGACAGGACATCATAACGTGATGCGTGATTTACTATTTACAAGCACGTGATAAGTGAACGTCCTTTGAACTAGAAGGACAGTAAATAATAGTAAATAGAGTCTTAAAAGAGATCACCAAATCGTAGACTACGAGTAGTCCCTCTTTCGCTTAGTCCGTCGTGCGTGACGCGAAAGAAAACCGCGAGAAAAAAATGTCCGCGTGAAATCCTGGGGGCGAGGAGAGCAACGCATAATTCAAACTCTTGGGATTAGGCGGTAGTCCCTCCTTTCGCGCGCTCCTCGCCTGCAGGATTTCGCGCGGCCATTTTTTTCTGGCGGTTTTCTTTCGCGTCACGCACGACGGACCAAGCGAAAGAGGGACTACTCGTAGTCTAGCATCGTAATGTTTCAGAGTTTCCTTGGCTAAATCATTACGGAATTTGAGAGTATCAAATTTCTAATAATCCCTGTATGACCCGGTCACACCTCAGCCATTGCGGATCACGTTACTTCCACGGGTCATAATATTAAGTGGGGCAATTTTGATATCTTAGCAACTGGTAGGTCAGATATACATTGTAAAATTNACGTTGGCAGTGAAAAACTTTTTCTTTACTAACATTTTGTATTGTTATTATTACTATGGTAATTTTTTTTTCTCTCTCCCGCAGACTCATCTGTTTGTTATTAACTATTAGTCTTGTTACATATTATTAGATACCAGTCTTTTTCTTTTTCTTCGCGTTTAAATTTCGATTGTAATCTAGTTAACGYTCACTTCTGAAGATGTATGTTGTACATACGAAACGTCAAGGAAATTAACTTTGTTTAACATGCGTTTTGGTTCCATGTTTATCACCGCGGTTTGTGTTTTGTTTCTTCGGTAGTTACAATTTAGATCGCCAACAAGGATTATTTCTTTGTCCTCAGAATCTTTTCTACCATGATTATCTCTTCAAGGCTTGCTACATGGTCTTCGAATTTCAAGAGAGATACCCTCGATACCTTCTAAATCTAAATCTCAGAATAAGATAATAAATCATTCACCTAATGTAAATGGCAACACCACCGCCCTGACGGTTTCTATCCTTTCTTAAAGAATCTTATCCATCAATAGAAAATAAACTTTAACCCTTAGAACGAGCAAATCAACTACTTGGTTACTTAAATATGATTGAAGCTCTTCGAAATGCTTAGGAAGACTCACAATATGGGGAGAAATAAATTTAAATCCTCTGTTGATGGGAAGAGAGTAACCTGATGTCGTTGTATTGCATTTGGAAGAAAACTCATTTGGGCACGCAGACTAAGTCCCCAAAATATCCTAATTAGAGATATTACGGATTGCAAAGGATATGTTCTTAACGAAGAGAGCTGTTCTCTTTCTGTTCAAGTGTATACCATCGTTATTAAGATGGTTTTCTGAAATGTTTGAATTATCGATGAAAGACCAAGAATATTGATGACACGACGAGCTCAACAAGTTGTTTACCTTTCTCACTTTGTTGTTGAGTGCGGAATCACGACGACAACTGAGGCTGGAAACGAAAACCTTGCGCTTTTTTAGCTGGGCCATCAGCCTCATTTGCTAATTCGATGATGTTGTTTGCTACTGAACAAGGATCACGATTAAGGTCGTTTCTTCCAAGATGGATTTCCACTTGATCTGGATCTTTCGCTAAACTTGGAACCCAAGCCCAAAATGATGGTTGATTTAGCTCCTACCCGCCGCTCGCCAACAGCTCAGGATTTATCGACCTGAGGGGACGCGGTGTTTGTAGGTGTTGGCCGAGTTTGGTCATCGTTTAATAGTTTTATGGCTGTAACAAGGCTATACCGTTCATTTTCTAGGGTTTTTATTGTGTTAGATGCCCGTGCATTCGATAGACGTTCATATTCGAGTTGCTCTTTTAATTTCTTGACCTCATTTTGAAGAGCAATAATTTCTTGAAGTAGGCGTTCTCGACTAGGTTACGAGTCGTTGGTAATTTTCATATTTCCCTTCGAGGGAACAAGATGCTGAAGTTCATTACGTTGTTGCTCGACTTTCTGTAGATTGCTCTTAACCATGGAACAACCCTCGCATGTGGAAGGGCTTGGCAAAGTCGGGGTTACAGACTGCAGGTTCTGCTAAGAGTTCAAGGAGCAATTCACGACCATCCACCGCAGTTGACTCGTTTGAGGCCGCGATCTGACATTGCTGAGTGTCACAATTCGGCTGAAGAGCAAGCAGGTGATCCTTCGATGCAAAGAGGTTGCCTAGTTTTCTTACAAGACAGCTTAACAAGACCCTTGGGTTTGGACGGTATGAGTTGAAGAATACCACTTCACTGTGTATCACCCACCTTGAATGAAAACATTGTATCGGCTGGATCCTCTGAGATTTCGCCGTCTTCCGTAAACTCGAGTTATGTCTTGACCAGACAAATCAAATCTTTAAAATCCCCATACCACTTGAATTGATCCTTCGTGTTCAAGTAGTTGAGTCGACTAGCCAAAAATGCAATTGATGACGAAGTCTCGTTTGCAAGAGCCATTTTTAGATCCAACGAATATTCCATGTTACATGTAGCGACCGTCGCTGAAGTATGTATCACATTAGCCTGCGTGGCAGGTGTCCGAAGGGGAGGGAAAGGGGAAAAACGAGCGCGCGAAGCGCGGGAGGATCGAACGCGCGAAGCGCGTGAGGGTAGGGGACCTCGTTCCTCCTCGAAGCGTGCTCTATCCTCCGCGCTCGTTTTGACCCTTTCCCTCCCCTTCTAAGGTCTACCGCGCAGGCTAGTATCAGGTGAATAGCTGGCTTGGTTCCACATGAACTGATACAAACTGATTTAATGAGAAATGGTTGCAGAACCGATTTAATCTGAAGCGTTATCATTATTAGCTCATTCAAGAGACCGGTCACATACCCTGGTATATTCGATGGTAAAAATGTTTGACAAAACGAGCGGCTTGTCGTTGTGCACTTTAAATCTGGATGTCATGAATTTCCTTTTAGGTATGCGAATCACATACCCTGGTATTCGATAATAAATTGCACACCCAAGATCTGGATGTCATGAATTTCCTTTTGGGTATGTGAATCCCACACAGATGGTCTCTTACTAATAAATAACAAGAGTTTTTCTTAAATGTGTTCCGGGCGACGATGCAGGTTCCTTCTGATAAATCCGACAGTAAAAATAAGTAAAGTAAAACTTTATTTAGCCGCCGGGTTAGTCTTCGTGATAATGCTAGTAACATTTAACGAATATTAAACTTGATCGAGGTCCTTAGAGAGTTCCACTCCTAAATATTTATTTTGTTTACGGTGTTTATTTACGGTGCATTTCTCCTTTGCACGGGGCCTCCTCCGATTTTTTTCTCTTTGGACTCGTTGAAGAACGCCGTCTGATTATTGACTTCATAAGGAGCCCAGGAAGCTTAGTCCCAGCCGTCCACACTACACCGGAGGAATTTAAAAACGCAACAATCACCGGTCGTTTTATATT